AAGAAGAAAAGTCGCTTGGTTCGAGGTAAACGCGAAGTCTGTCGATGCTAGCATTGATCGTGGCAGAAGAACAAAAAGCGCCTGCGCAAGGTTAAAAAATACTGCAAAGTACAGCATTTCGGGCCAGTGGATGGTTAGAAGAAGAAGAAAAGCGTAATGGCTGCGGCACCCCTGGCTTTCGTTCCCCCCTTCTCAGGTAACTACAATATATATATATATACATAAATATAGACTATATATAGATCAGTATAGTAACTATAGTACCCAACATTTACCAACCAAACTTGCCACCGATTGCAGGACGTGGTGCCTCACTGGGGCGATGTGCGTGTGGGCGACCACAATCCTGCCAAGGTTGGATGACCATGGCAAGCTGCTCCTGGTTCTATGGCCGAAGTTGGTCCTTGCGAGATTTTGGTAGGTCAATTGGATTCAAGTGGGTTACTTTTGAGACGACTGGAGGAAGATTCTATTGGCACCTATTAGAGATTATTTGTGAGACATGTTTATATATATATAAAACCGATTGTTCTCTCCGTTGGCTATCACCAGTTACAAGTATCCATGTGGAGAGACTCAATGGCAGAGCGCCAGTGGTGGCCTGGACTTGACGCAGGCCAATCGAGTGCCATGGAGTGATGTTCGCATAGGTTGAGAAGTGGCCTGAGAAGTCATAAGGCCAATTTTCCGTAGTTGCAGGGCGTAGAGGCCCCACCTGTCAGTAAGATAGCTATATAAATTATAAACCCTACTATATAAATAGAGATCGCAGTCAAAGAACTGGATAGAATTGGCCTTTTGGTAGGGAGCCAAGCTGGCTCAATCAAGAAAAGACGGATTCTAGCGAGTGACACTAATTCAGCGCAAGATCAGCGGAGCTCGCTGAACGTTTGTGCACGAAGCTGTTGAAACCTGGGAAGCTGAGCTCATGCTGCTCCAATCTGCTCCATTTCCTCACATTTTCTTGTGAATTTCCCAGGCTTCGCATCAGCATTCTAAGCATTTTCTCACATTTTCTTTGGATGTCTGAGCCATGGGAAACCAGTGGTGTGGGGACGGACATCAAGCAACATCCAGTTGAAGCATTTCCCACGGAGCTTCCATCATGGCTTGGAACGCCCGCCGCTGTATAGGCGTTCAGCTTGCCGAGAGCGCAAGCTGCTGCGGAATGGCGCAAAAAATGTTTGCTGCCCTGCACACCCTTACATCCTGTCGTTGAGATATTCGAATTGATTGCTATTTGGTTGATATGAGGCCAATTTGGCGTCGCATGGCTTTTTCAACGCTCTTTTCATGTTTCAGTCCGCGCTGTATGTCATGAATTGCACATGCTGAATTGTGTCAAGCTACGCTCTTCGTTTTCAGGTTCTGACAGCAATCGTCTTAGTGGCGATACCTCCATTCAATCCAATGCAGCACGTACCTCTCTTGCTATTGCTGAGTCTGCCGCACCTTTTGATTCAGAAACTCACCCGAGACAAATTTGGAATGTCAGCAGACCAAACACATTTGTGGCATACAGATCTGCCTTCCACAGCAAGATCAATCATCCCAGTTGGCCATTGGCCACTTTGGTTGCCCACTCTTCCTGGCCCCGATGGCTAGATGGGTCTAGGAGCCTAGGCCTAGCCGACATCTGGCTGATGTTAGAGTCCAATCCATTCATGCATCAGCTAAAGCAAAAGCTTCTACGTCAATTTTGTGATCGTTCTATGTTTCCAGTGTTTTTAAGAGCGCACTCTGTTGTTTCATTCAGCCGGGCCACCCCTGCATTGAGGTCGCTATCACCTGCAGCCTCCTGCTGCCAGGCTCTTGGCACCTGCACTTGGTCAGAAGTAGGATGTGGTCGATAGAGATTCTTTTGAGAAGGTATTGGTAAACACGCCTTACTCTGAAATCACGAAGGCGCCCATTTCGCATCGACAATGTCGAAAAGGGAGTTGAGCATGCTTAGCGCATCTGAGCGCAAACGCTGTAGAGACCATGTTCCGCAAGAGTGACATCGGCCAGGGCATGCCGCTGATCTCGCCTGCACCTCAAGTTGGTGGCCCAGAGTTGGGCGCGGCACTTTATCACCATGGATCCAAGGGCTTTGAAGCTGAGAATAGTTAGAACTGTGCACGAAGTGCACATGATTCTGTGAAATCGCAGGGGGTAGAACTGTCGCATGTGGAATGATTGTCTGGTCCGATATGTGCAATCGAAAGTCGGCACGCAAGCTCTGAGACTTCTGTGCATTGGATCTAGGATTCGAATGGATTCGAGGACCAAGAGATGCCGTTGCCCTTTGATTGTGCACCAACTTTGCACGACTTAGGTATAAATCTGGCTTGTGCACGGCGCGGCAGAGAGGATATGAAGGCGAGACATAGGATGTCAGATTCTGCAGAGACAGTCTTAGACTCATAGACTGATATGGACCTGGATTTGCCTGACTATAGTTGGATATATCTTGATGCTGGGGATTGTTGATATGGAGATCTCCTGTGCCATCCTGTGCCCAAAAAAATCATCCAAAAAAACACGGACTTTCCAGTATAAACTTTATAAACCATGCATTGTGGGGTACCCTCATTTTAGGACACACCCCATGGCCAATTGGCAGGCAGAGTGCCTAACTGGCAACTTCACTGCGCAAGCAGGCCGTGGAATGGGATGAACAGGTGACCGAATCCTTGGTATGACCGTGACCGGTGATTCATCGGCGAGGAGTGTTGGATAGTCTTGGGATGTCTTGGGGCACTTGGGAAGAACCGGAGTATACTTGAATTATCTTGAATTCTTGAGTATCCAGGATCCATGAGTATCTCATGATATCTCAGCTCTAAGCGCACCATGGCTGGTCGAAGTTATTATCTGGCCACGCGCAGGTCGTTTGACTTACGCCAGTGGCTTTGAAGAAGGCTATCTAGCTGGAAAGGTGGGCACTTGTTTTGTCCCATGGCTCCCATTAGGGAAGTATCGTGTGGGTTCAGTGGATGTGTTTTTGACTTTGGATGCCGCGCATGGCAATTATCAGCATATGAGGGAGGCCACACTGTGGCAAAACTGGTGGCTTGACAGGAGGCAGCGCGTTCCAAGAAACTCACGTGGAGTCAGTATGCCGTTTCCATTGTCAGGGGCCTAGAATTTTACGCTGCCAGCTGAAAGTTGGGGAAGGGCACTAGGTTGGGTCGACTTTGAGCTTTGGCATCAATTCTAAGCACTGGAGGTTGTCGACCTGGTCCTTCTTTGGGTTGTATTGGTCAGCTTTGCGCGACTGGAGCGCATGTTCTACGCCCCCAAACAGGTGGGCGTTGTGGTGGTTTTTCGAGGGCAGATGTGACGACTCATTTGACCCATTATCCATGAACTATATTTTACTATCATTTGTGCAACCATGTTAAACCATATTAGGCATCCATTGACCCAAACATGCGCCCCAGACCCTATAGTGAAAGCATGTGAAAGCGTTTAAGCTTCAACGATTCGCAGCCAGGAGAAGGTGATTTGGGGCCATGGAGCCGCCACCATGGCCTTTTCCGGGGAGGCTCCGCCTGGTTTCTTGCAGAAAGCCTGGCAAAAACTCTTTCCAAGTGCGGAGGCTTAGAGAATAAGTCAGCAAGCTTAGAAAGAAAATAGATACTGGATGAGATTGGTACTATAAATAGGTAGATATAGGTAGGTTTGGTTGGTTGGATTGGATGGATCGATAGATGGATGCATGGAAAGATGGAAAGATGGATAGGTGGATAGATGGATAGATACTGACAATATTCTATAGCTCCTAGGTGACAGTATGAGATGATTTTCGTGGTGTTCAAGACCTTGAAGTTGATTTATCCCATACCCAAGATGTAGCATTAGTATGTATATATATAGTTATATATATATATACATATGACACACACACATATATATATACATGCAACATAAGTAGTAGAAATGGGGAGATGTCCCGGAGCCATACACATGGTGACTTCACCGGCAGTTGCTCAATGTTGCTCAGTGGATTGTGTGTCCGAGGTGGATCTGGCGCCTTTGTACCGCGCAATGTGAGCGAGGCGTATGAAGCTGCCAGGCAGCATCAACGGCAGACCAGCTGAGAATGAGTTGAGGTATGGTACCCATGAATACCTATTTCCGCGATTTTGGTTGGGACAAACATGATAGTATCAATTGAGTGCTGGATACTGGATGCTGAAGTCCTTGTTTCACTCGAGGTTTGGAGAAAAAAGAGGGGGACATGACAACGGTACACAAGGGGCATTAGCAGGGATGCAGGTGCCTAAGTTATGTATAATGTGGCGCCGAACCATTTTTAATCAGTTTTTTTCATTAGGTCCAATCATTAGGTGTGACGACTGCCACACCCAGTACCAAAATGGTTTTCTCTGGCCTCCCGCTTTCGATCTTAAAGCATTCATGCCAAAAAATATGATTCGGGTTAAAATGCTCTGCTCAGCACATTTCTGCATTGTTGCATTTAGTCTAAATCGTGGTGAATTCTTGAACCAGTGAGTGGCGAGTAATTAAATGAGCTAGAAAGCCTTGTATCATGTTATACAAGTTGTATCATGTTGCATCCATGCACCGATTCACAGACCATTTGCCGAGCCTTTGGCTCCACATGCCTAGCTCAAGGAAAGGCGGAAAAGTGCCTTGCATATGCAACGGGGCGTCATGTGAGTAGCTGGAGTGCCTGAACTGTAGCAGCTGCATCATCCCCCAATGCGCCTTAGGCCAATCACACCGCCCTTATCATATTCCAGTTTGATGTGGAACTAGTGATGCGATGTGAGCCCTTGAGCTCTCGTCGCAATCGCTGCTACCGGCGCTTACGCGGAGCTTTGCTGATTACTTTGCTGTTTGGTTCTCAGCTGTTGATTTGAATCGCGGAAAATGGACGAACATGGAGGACCAGCGCAACATCATTCCCGTTGTCATTTGGATGTTGCATGTCAGTAGCGAGAAAAGACGATAAGAAATTTGAACTTCATGAAGTCTTCCCGTGCTCCTGTGAACTCCAGAGTGTTTCATCGCAATTGAAGTGAGGGAAGCAGATGGAGAAACCATGAGAAACCAATTTGGACAATGATTGATTGGAGGCTTTCAATGGTTGAATTGGCAAATGCACCACTCAGGTACAGTGGACACCTTGCATTGAGTTTTAATTCTGGGTTGCCTCAAGTTCAGCAAGGGAGACCTTTGCTGGAACCTCGGTGCCTCGGCTGTTCCGGAGTCCGGAGGGTGCGGTCCTATTGAAAAAGAACGCCCTCAACATGTCCGATTTGCCAACCTTCCTGACAAAAAAACAGCATTTTTTTGGTCCAAGTCTGTCCTAATTGGGTGCTCCTAGCAAGACCATAAATCCTTGCATCCCGCGTTCCTGTGGCTCTTCTTGGCAGAGTTTGATTGGTTGCAGCTTTCACCTTGGAGAGTCTTGCGATCGCAAAAGGGACAGCCCGTGTCTTGTCAAGCACGGATCACAGCGCTTGCCTTCTGTTTTTCTTCCCAATTGGTGAACTAGGCAGTATCAGCAGGAGGCTGTGGATTTCTTCTTCAAGAATGCCAAGAAGGCAGTTGCTCTGGTATGATGGTCCTCAGGGCCTGGGAAAAAGACTGGGTTGTACGATGCCTGCCAATGATTGCCGACGTCAGATATTATAGTTCAACATGATCTAGTGCTGAAAGTAGGCCTAGACATTTACCAAGTTTGCTACTCAACTAAAACACACAAATTTGGTGGGTGGTGGATAGCGGAAATGATAGCGGATATCGGATATATAATAAATTATGTATGTTGATAGTAACATGATATGATGCGTATGCATGTGTTGCATAATGTTACATATGCACGCATAGACAGACACACGCCGTCACACACACATGTATACATATTATCATATACATGTGTGCACATTATATACAAATATGCGTGCGTACGAATGTATAGATACACATACACACACACACATATATATATACACATGTGTAAATGTATATACATGTATATAATTATGCAGACACACACATATATAATATATAGACATGCAGTTACAGTGGATATACATATATATATGTATATATGTATGTATACATATATATATATACATGTATGTATGATTGTCGATCTAAAGGTCCATGTCCAGATTGTCCATTACAAAGGCCGCCAGGGTTCCAACATGAGACCCCCCAAAAATTTTTGTTCTGAGTTCGCGAAGGTATATTTATCCGGGTGTCAGATTTTAACATCAGACCCTCGCGAAAGATAAATGGGGGGTTCGTGAAAGATTCGCGTACCTAATTGCTTATTCGCGAAGAATGGCTGTTTGCAGAATAACATAAATATATGATATATACGTTACGCATATATGTACACATGTTCATATGTATACATATATATATACACATAGACACACATATATTATATAATATTATACATATATACATACGCCAAGAGGCGCCTCTATGATCTACCATGGGCATGGTGGGAATATATTATTTTATATATTTATAATATATATATATATATCATATATATATATATTTATATATAAATATTATATATTTGTTTAAAAAATATTATATATATATTATATATATATTGTAAATATACATATATATATTATATTTATATATATAATATATATTTTTTGAAAAATATTATATATATATGTTATATATAATATATATATATTATACATTAAATATATTATACATTAAATATATTATACATTAAACATATTATATATATATTATAATATATATAAATATATTATATATATATATATTATATTATTATTATAAAAATATTTT